CAGGTTTTAAGAGGGTAAAACACTAGCAGGGCTGGGAAGGGGACTGAGTGTTTACCCACCAGAACCGAACAAAAAGACTTCTGTCAGAAAATTAAGTTAGGATGTGCTGCACTAGACCAGATGCCAGTCCCCTTGGCTTCAGGGGCCCTAGAAGCATAGTGATGTTTGAATAAAACAGTGCAACCCATAGTCAGCCTTTTTTTGACTGACCAAGTGGGACCCTATCACAACTTCCAAAGCCCAGGACTGGGTTTGATGACAGCTGCTGTGGAGGTCAGTGTTTGGATGACTAGAAGTCCCTGGCATTTGTTTTTGAATAGGAGGAAGAGTATTAGTTCTAAGCGTATGCTCAGTTATCCATGCATGGACTTACAGTTTACTGATGTGACTAAGCAGATTTAAAACCTAGCTATGGAGTAGTGATTAGATGCTGTGGTCACTGCCAGGGAAAGCTGCCATTGTCCGCACTGGTAAACTTTTTCCAAACCAGTGATAACTGTCCCGGAATTGGAGTTGAGGTAATCCCTCTCCGCAAGTAAAACACTTCTGTGTCTGGCTGAGATCAAACTTTTCCAATCCAAACCTTGCCAGCTGTAGCTTCTGGTGACAGCTGTTGCCTGGTTTGTCAAAAGACACCTTGAAACATGGAGTTTACTCAAGTGCTCTGGAATGTTCAGCAAGCCTCCATGTTGCTTTTGTGTTTGCATCTTTTTTTCCCCCTTGCCAATGAATACTTCATATTGCTGGAAGACCTGAGGGGATCTAGTCTGGATAAACATTCAAGGCTTCCTAAATGCAGCTTGGCCTTTATAGCTCCAGGTCTGCCATTAAGGGAACAGTAGGTGGAGAAAGAATGGGGAACGCTAGCCAAAAGGGCAAAGGATGGGAAAAAAGACAACGGTCTGTCTCCCTCCTAGAACCACGCTGTCATTTTTGCATCTATTTCCATGGTGTGCAGTTTTCCAGGTTTCTACTGCTTTCTTTTCATTCCAGGCTTCTTGACGTCTGTTGGCCCTGAGCTGCCACTGTCTTAAAGTTAGGGTCAATGTAGCGGTGAGCGTAGGACTTGTGTTCTCGTGTGTACCTCTGCTGAGGTGCTGGTGCTTTTGCTGAAGGCCATCACTGAATCTAGTTCCAGCATTTGGAGTTTAGATGCTCTATTCTGCTTCTCTAACGCTGAGCCCCATGTCTCTTTTAACATTCTCAGGTGCTGTTCACAAGTCTTCCTGTAGTCCACGTGTATGCTGTTAGCACAACAGCACTACATGACCCAAAGAAGCAACAAGGAAGTCTGTACTCCTGCCCTGTCTACAAAAAGCCTCGGAGAACAGATCTGACGTACATTTTCTCTTTGTATCTGAAAACAGTGCAGAATCCCGATCATTGGACTTTACGGGGGGTTGCACTGCTCTGCAATTCAAAATAAGGACAAACAGCTATAAAGAAAGAAGCACCTAGGAAAATTAATCTGCAGCTGGTAGGACTGCTGTTATTATTGACGAAGTGGTGGCTACATTCTCACAGGGGTATTGGAATTAACAAGTGACATATAGAGATTGTGTTCATTACACATAGATCAGTTTACTCTGTTCACAGCAAAAATGCTAAATGTATTTAACCTGGGAATATCAGAGGGAAAACAGTTGCAGGTGTAAAATTTGGCAACTGTTACAAAGCAAGTGAGTATATAATCAACTAGCTTGCTCATAATGGAAACACTAGGAAAAAAGTGCTTATGACAATGACAGTGACAATGCTCTAACATTTATGGTGGTTCTTTTGTAGATGTTATCTTCTCTTCTTAATACAAGACTTCTTCATAATATGGTATAAATCTTTTAAAATTCAACTTTGTAGTTAAAAACCTATTGTCCATAGCATTATTAAAGCTGTAATGACAAGTGAATTAAATGTATGGTAAAACTTTATGTTTCTCTGCATGTATTCCAATGCACAGTTCCTTTGATTTTGCACTTGTAAACTTACTGGGTGGTTTTACAAATGGTTGCTACCATTTCCTTCAATAGTCAGTTGTTTATGCTAACGATCATAGAAACTGTACAAACAGGCAAGTTTATCTTTGCACAAGTAGTGGTCTTTGCAGATATTAACTCATTTGTAAACCTATATCCCGTTATAAGGAAGATGTGCACCCCCCCATTATTAGCGAGAAAAACATTTTGAAACTCTTCTCAGAGTAAACACATCTGAGCACCAGTTTGGCTTAATTAGTATTTGCTCCATTGGCATTAGTGCCTGAATCCTGCAAACTCAAACCTCTTAACTGGATTTTATTCTGTGTTTGGATCAGTTTAGGTTAAAAAAAAAAAAAAAAGTAGAAGACACACAGGCCATTTCTGGGAGTAGATTCACCTGAAATGGTTGAAGTCATTTTTGTTTATTACTACCATTGCTGTCTACCCTGTAACTGAAGGGTGATTGCTACTTCTTTTTTAATAGACAGACAACTATTGGCAGAAAACGTGTTTGGCTTTTTTCACTAGCACAAATTCAAAGCAAAAGAAATTGCTGTTAGATGTTATGAAAGAACACTTGCAGTGTTTCGTTAATCGCTTTTTTTCTCCTTGTAAACACTTTCAATTTTTGTATAAACACTTCAATTTCTTTTCCGCTAGTGTCTAAGAAAGTAGTTCATCCTCTCTCATAACCAGTTTTACTCTGCAGTTAGCAATTGCTGGCCTCTTTCCGTGAGGAAGTTTGATATTCACACTCCCACTCACAACTAAGCAGAAAGTGCCAGATTTCTTCTTGGAAAACAGAGCAGATGGGGACAGGGTCCCTTTCTCCCACTGAGCCGGGAGCAGCACTTGTTGCACATGCAGTGCCGGTGAGATTACCTTACCAAGTGAAACCACCTGTTCAAGAAATATACACCGAGCCTCCCTGCAGTACGGCCGTACATCAACAGATTTCATTGAGAATTTTGTTTCTGAGAAGGGTGAAGGACTGGGCTTCAAGATCATTGTTCCTGGAAATTATGAAAAAGGTAATGGGGACTTCAAGCAGCGAAAGGCTGTGCTGTTGTACAGAATTTGAGGTTGTAAACCATAGTGTTCTCCCCATCCCCTACCTGTATGAGGGGATACGGAGTAAATTAACTTTGATCTCTTGGTACATGTAAAATTCAAGTCAGTAACATTGATAATAACTTACTTAAAATGAAGAGCACACCCGAAGAACTCACTACTTGCTATGAAAACAAATCATCCTCTGAACAATTGAAGTTAGAAGTAAACATTAAAAAATACATATTTGATAGAGGTTATATGTGGTGCTACATGATAAGCTCCATGGAAACTGCATCACTTCCTTTCTTTGTCAAGTAAAATGAGAAAATTAAATGCTATATAAAGAAAATCTCTAGGCAATTATGTTCTAGCACTTAGTGTTCTGCTGTATAAAAATGCAAAGAAATAGCTTCTTTGAACTTTGACATTTTCATTTCAGTAACTAAGCCCTGTTTGTCAGTTTAGGAAAACGTCAAATCTTGCAGAACAGAATGCAGGCCGTATTACAGAAGAACCAGACAAGTCATAGCGCATTTCCCTGAAGATAGTTACAGTTTTATACGAAAATGGAAGAAGAACATACAGTCGTCTGGTTCCAGAAAGACTTCCTATAACCAGTGAAAAAACAACCAACCAAACCCTCTGATCTATCCTATAAGCAAAACCTTCTTTTCTCTTTGCATGTAATTATAGTATAGCAGAGGTGTACAATTTACTGTTGAAAGACGTGTCTTCCTCCCCCTCTCTCCCTCCTTTGCCCTATCCTGCCCTTCCATTCAGTGGAGTTGCTGCTTCCAATCTGACAACATTAATTTGATTTGAAATGTCACTGACATAGTATAACATTGACCTTCCCCAACCAGTGTTCCCTAGTTACTATTGCTAAAGCTGTTTCACTTCAAACGTGATGTACACCAGGCTAAATGAAAGAACCAGCAGGCAGAATATTTGAAATCAAACTAATTATATTTAAATTATAGGTTAACAATTAGCTAGGAGTCCTCAAACAATGTATATAGATAACCAAGTTATGCTCTGCTGTTAAAATGAATCTGAGATATTAAATACAATCATACAGCTTTTGTCAATATTGTACAAGTTTCACACAGATAGTAATGGCTAACATTGCTTTAGATAAGTGCTTTGAAGGCAACTCTGTTTAAGAATGAAGAGAGCAATATAGTCCTGCACGCCATGTCAGCATAGCGGCCGTGTTTACAAACATATCTGATATCAGGGCACTGGCTCCTGTAACAGCATTCCATACTCCAAAGGGTGTCTGTCTCATAATCCCTGAGGCTGTGGCTGGTCGATAATGATGATGATAGGAAACAAAAAATTGGGTTATGGATTGGCCCTGTACTTCAGTGGCTTTGTAGAATAGATTTTAATTGCAGTGAAGCTCAGAAAAAGCACAGAGAATGGAAAACAAAACAATTCCCTTGTCTGGTCAGTTATGTTCATGAGCCCTATGATCCTCAGGATAGAGTAACAATTCTTTAAAAGATCTCGAGGAAATTTCAGTTACAATATTCTGATTTTTTTCTCTACTTATACAGAATGCATGCATTAATATTATCCCTCTTTTACTGCTTCATACCCTCGTCTTTCTCACAATTGCCTTTCCATAACATGAATACAATACCTCATTCTCCTTTCCTCCTACTATTCCATATTTAATGTGTCTTCTGCTTTTTTATTCTTACTCCATAAGTGCAGAAAATGCATTGCTTACATACATCAAACCTTCCTCTTCCAGAACTCTGGAAATAATTTTTAGTCGTTTCAGGACCTTCTCTTTTCCACTGAGAAGAAACGCAATTTACTCAAGAACCTAGCATTCCTGCCACATTTTGTCACACCCTGGATAAAGCAAGATTTTCTTCCTTCTGCTGTTTCAGTGAGGGCCCTTAAAGGAAAAGATTTGTATTGCTGAATGGACATTTTTCATAGTTCTTCCTCTTGCTAATATGAAGTAATAGCTTTGTTATTGTTTTCTGATTAGAGGAGTTGGTATAAGATAATGGAAAATGTTTTTATACTGTTGTATGTACAACTGAAGAGAGTGATTAGGCTGTAAAGTGACTGCTAAATCAATCTTGCAAATACATCAGATTTCCATTTCCCTTTGACATGTGAGTTCCATTTGGGTTAATGATGGCTATCGGCACGCTGCAGGACAGAGGGGGAGCCCCTTTGTTCAGTTTGCATGGCTTGGCTTTTGTCAGGAAGACAACACTACAGACACCCACGTAAATGATAGAACACCAAGACATGTTTTGTGATATAACACAAGTTCACACGTTTTTCTAAAGCTGAGTGAATTCATAGTGTGTTATGTCTTGTTCAGTAAGGATAGTATGGTGTGTTTGCTAATTGATTCCATATGCCGATTGCTTTAAGTCTAGCAGAGGGACATCATCACCTCCTCCTCCTTCTTTCCCTTGCTGCTTAAGAACAACTTCTGGGATCGTCACTCCTTTTTCAGTTGACGGGGAAGCACCTTTTGTTGCACTATTCTTGTCTTTCTTTACCTTAGTGATCACTTCTGTGTAAGAGATTTCTTCAGTGAAGGGCTCTGCTGCTGCGAGCTCAGAGGCGATGTGCACGCCGGCTTCCTGGATCCCTTCCTGACCTTCGGCTCCTGTTCGTTCTTTATTTTTTTTATGGATCTTGAACGTCTCCTTCGTTGGGGCAGCTTGTGAAATGGTTTTCTTGATCCTTATCCCAGATTGTTTCAGTCTCTCTCCTGACTGCCTGATCCTCTCTCTCCTCTCAGGGGTTACTATTCTGGTTCGAAGCCTGTTCACCTTCTTGCCAAAATTTTGTCTCGTCTTTTGGATATTTTCCCTTGAAAATGCCTTTTTGATATCATCTATGCGCCTCATGCCTGATTTCTTGAACTGGGTTGCTTTGCTTTCTTCGATATAATATTCTTCATCAGAAGACAGATCATCAGGTGGGAAGAAATCATCCTCTAGAGTTTCACCTGCTGTCCTCTCTTTGATAACAGAGAGAGATGAAGGACACTCGGTTTCCTCCTGTGAATGAAAGCACAGAGTCATCTTCCAGCATGTGTGTTTTAAAGGGATGGCGATTCATGCATTTTGTTTTTTGGCTTGTAGTTAATGAATGCTAACTGACATACAATATTGTAACAAAGTAAGGTAGGCTTGTACCATCGTATGTGATCTATACAGAATACAAACGGCAGAAGAAACCTTTGCCAAGTTCTGTAAAGACATTATGCCTGTTTAAAGTTTTCTTTTCAGTGTGGTTCTACTTGAAACTAGTGAATGCCATGGTCCTATGTGTACTGGCCTCTAGTTTTCAGGGCAGGTTTGTCTAGTTCTCTTTTTTTTTTTTTTTTGAAGCTTATCTGCTTCACCGAGATTGGACCTGGATCCATTATTCCTCACCAATAAAAGTAGACATCCTATAGACAAAAGAGGTTCTTGTGCTTGTGTCAGCTGTACGCTCTCCAAATGAGTGCCTCAATGGTATCGGTAGCTTCTGTCCTTTACTGTCAACAAGACAATTGTACATTTTTGACTAACTGGAACTTAGCGAACAATTCTGTTGCTGCCCAGAAGGGGATGAACCCCAACATATTAACTTACATGCTCTGCCTCCACAAGGGGATAAAGTCAGTAAAGGAATGAGATGTTATTCAGTAAATCCAGTTCCACACAATTCACTCAGCACCTGCACCATTGCTGAGGTGAACTTGACTTGTTCCATCTGGAAACACATGAATGACCCTGAGGAAGCACCTCTGTCTGCTGTGGTGAGTTTGGTGGCCTGTATGAGCATGCAGTGTTACATATTTATATGATACATATGATACGTATTAGCTGTGTGCTTGGAAGTGGTGACTATCCTAGATATCTTAGCACTAGGAATTTATGCAGCCTCTCCAAAGAAAGACTGCTAGAGACTCAAAGCTCAAAGACACAGAAGATTTCCAAAAGTTGTCCACAGTAAACAAATAATTTACCAAGAATCATTTAGCGGTTAAGGACATGCAAAAAAAAAAAAATTAGGAAAAAAGCTTGTGGTAATGGAAGGATTTATCAGAACAGGGAGAATCTCCTGAGAGAATCGATCTGAAGACTGCTGTCTGCACGGACATTACAAATTTGTGGCTCAGTGTCAGTGAGTCACTTCTATCTAGAAGTACTAGTGTATGCAGAGTAGAAAACTCATAACTTGTAGGAGGTGTACGAGATGGACAATGCCAGCCCCTTCTTCCCTACTAGTTGTTTATGTGCATGTGCATGTTCTCTTCTCCCTGGAGGAGCAGCCTTTTGGGGTGCAGACAGGTACAACAGCTATATAAAACTTCTCTAAGCTGTTTGCCATTAGTACTAACTACTTCAGCTGATTTCTGAGGCATGACAGTTTCTGGGCCCTACCCTTAGTATTATTATCTTAATGCAGAAAATAGGAGAGATATTAGAAGTTGTGAACCCATGAAGAATGGGTCAGGCTTACTGAATAATTTGCTGTGAACTGATTTCCGGCCAAGAAGACGTCTGTCATTTTTCTCAGTGACTCATTAGGAGCAAGTCATGTTTAATGTTATTTTACAGAGTACTAGCAATACATAAAATAAAATACATCATCATGCCTTGGCTCCATTAAAAACTCTCTGGTACATAGTTGTTAATACTTAGAAAAAATAGGGATAAATTATGTTGCATTGATTACAGCAGAATGTTATTCAACTCATCTGTCAAAATCAGCAGGAACAAAACTACAATGCTTTGCTAATGATCATCTTCATTAACATGTGCAAATTAACATTAATTATATAAAGACTTCTATATATAAACATAATCCCTTCTTTTCTGAAAATGAACTAAAACACAGCTGGATAATAATTCCTCAAAGTTTGTAAATTATAGCCCACTCCTTCAGCTGAAATGGTAACAAAAATGTTTCCAGAATGACTATTCTGAAATTTCAGTACATGCAGAAATGAATACAATATGGTGAATAGGGTATGCTGTTCGTATGAAGCTTACTTTTTAAAAAGAGAGAAGGCAGAGAGACTATTTTCTCCGCAATATTTAAGCTGTCTTCCTTTGGAAGAAGAACAAATTTTTCTGTACTTTTTGTCAATTGTTTGCCAGATTTTTATTGTATTTAGCTTTATAGTCTATTAGCTAAAGAAGAGAGCGCTTTAACTTTCATACATATGTGTTAGAATTAAGACTTATGAACAACAACATGTGAGGTGAAGGCATTGTAGACGAGACACAGAAACTAGAGCTGCAGGTCCTGAGGAACATTCTTCATCCTGCTACAGACTCTGAGAATGATCTTTGCCAAACCTTGGATTTTCTCCTTTTCCTTGGTTTCTGCACACATCTTGCAGAATCAAATGTAGCAAGGCGAAAAATCAGTGTGAGTTTCTATCTCCTCTTAAAATTTCTGTCTGGAAGATGTTACCAAAATGGAAAGTATTAATGAAACTGGCTAGGATGTTAGGGAGGTTTCATAATAAAAATGCAGGGATTTAGGCTCAGTAGGAGAGCTTTCTCATCTGCTTCCTTTCTCTGTCCTGCCCCTGCCCATTTCTTCCTATCACTAGGTATCAATGGGGTAGAGAGAAGAGAGGAGCTCATCCTTCCTAAAGCAGGAACTATAAGTTTTAGTGCCAGGTGGGAAATAGAAGGAGTCAAAGCATATAGCTACCAGCTCATTTATAGATTCACTAAAAGCAAAGACCAAACACCTACTGATTTCAGTTGCACAGGACAGAGCCCTACACCGGGTGACAACTTTCTTCTTGGCTGGAAAGTGGATGGGACTGGAAATAGCAGGACTGGACAGCCCAATCTTGGGGGAGGGTGAGAAGGAGTTGAGCGATCAATGATGCTACTTGAAAGCTTTTAGTTAAAAACCTACTTAAGCATTTTGCTAGGAAGGACTCGTTATCTGCCACCACCACCTCATGGCAGGTAAGGGACGATCTTTAAGCTAAGTTTGTAAGTGGTCAAATAAAATGAGGACAGGAGATGATGTCACAGGAAAAGGTGATATCAAACAGCCAGGTATTTTTAACCTGATTTCTCGAGGAAAGAGGAGTGCAGTCATATGGTCTGTCTGGTGGTTAATACAAAGGACGTGCACTCTGCTTGCCCTGCCTACCGGCAAAAACTGAAGACGTGCGCACGCCAGAACCAGAAACCAAGAAACAAATCTGTGGAAGCTGATCATTCCCCTTCCCTTTCATCAGTCCTCCTAGATGGAGCACCTGGAGAGGGTGCACCCTGCAGTGGGTGCTCACACTGGTCCTGGTACGCCTGTTGGCCATAATCTCCTGAAAAGTTAATCCACCACTCAACGCGCTGAAAATAGACCTGGACCTTTCAAAACAAAACAGTTTTTTTCTTTCTGCTCCAAGAAAAAAAGTTGGGAAATCAGTCATGTAAGTGGTTGATTTGAAAGTCCTCTTGTTTTTGTACAAAAAGCGTAGCATATATGGTTACATTATGCAGCTCCCACCCTCTCACCCTTACATAGCCTCTCCACTAACACATAAACATTTGGGCATTTTCCAGCAATTTGAGAATGGAGCTGAGCTCAAACACGACGAAATAAGCTCTCTGCTGAGGAGCCGGCTGTGTTGCAAGTTGTTCTGTCTGTCCTCCCAGCTGATGTCTGTCCTGAGCAAACACGCCATGGCTCAGGTACCTTGCTTGTAGATCTGGACCCGATGTTTTTGGCAGGTGACTGGTGGGAGGGGAGCCGAGAAGAAGGGTTGTGTGTTATGAATGGGTGTAGGAGGGGAGAAGGGAGAAATGGGTCAGATTAGACGGTGCGTTGTTGAAACTGGAAATATTTTGGAAAAATGCCTGCGTGTGGAAGGAAATGAGGTCTGGAAGGAGAAAGGCTTCAGGTTCTGTGGTAGCAGAGGAAGGACTGAAGGCGTTGTTTGCAATGGTAAGGGGAAAGCCTGGAGACCTTTGCAGCCAGGCAGGGAGAGAAATAGGCCACAAAGCTGTAGGGTTAGTTAGATCCACTGCTTAAGAAACAACTTTAACAAACAAAACTTAAAGAGTGGCTGGTGATGTCCCTGGCACAGTGAGTTTACTAAGAAAGCATTTAAAACCTGAACTTTGGCTTTTCATCATTTTTGAGTATTTAACTCCTCAAATATGCATAGCCAAAGAAGTCTGAGTTTTTAAGGGCCTGGCTGAATACAAAGAAAACACATGAGTAAACCTCAGCTTTGATGAAGAAAGCCAGCCCAGACTGTGTTTGAACGGATGGCTCTGGGGACAGTGAATATTGAAACCCAGATGTTTCTAACACTGGGCTCCCAAGAAAATCTGACTCCGTCATTGTCATTTTCTCCCTCTGCTCCCATTTGAATTTAATTCACAATTAGAAAATTTTTGAAGGGATGTATTCTGTGTCCTTCACACGGGCCTCAAGGAAGGGATCACAGCAGTAGCATTTTTCTCCCACAGGATATAACGAGGCATTTATGAAGGAAGGCTAATGCACCTGTTCCTTGAACTACGCAAAGCACAAGGTGCAGACTCTTTTTCACCTCACAGAAACCTTAAAAACAATAGGTAAATAATCTTAAATGTGGCAATGCCCCTAATCAACGTTATGAGACTCTTGAGCTGGTGATGCTCAGATAATTGAAAACTGGGGGGAAAAGAGACTGTCTCAAAACGTGCCTATTTGATAACCCTGCCTGCACAGTCAGGCTTTTCTCATCTCTGGGCAGGGAAAGGAGGGAGATGGCAGAGCAAATTGTTTAGTGATGTCTCAGGTATTTTGCTGCAGTGGTGTCCTGGCAAAGATCAGGTCAGCTCTAATAGCATCTTTCACTCTTACTGCTGAACTACGGAGCAGATAAGGCAAGGGGGCTCCTGGAAGAAGAATGTCATGCCTTCAGCGAGGTCAGTGAGGCTGGGCAAAAGAAAAAAGGCTATTAAAAAAATTTGCTCACAAACGTGTTAGCTAAATGTCCACCCTTTATCTTTGTAAGCACAGATGGGATCCATAATTAATAGCA